TTTCATTTAATCTAGTCCTTTTTTGCTCTTATACTGGAGTATTTATTCATATAAATAATTTTTACTCCCACTTAGTTGCTGTATACACTGTAAAAACTGTCCACCTAACCAAGTTTTAAAATCTCATATCAGCCAAAACGTCTTTCTGATCTTGTTTTGAGACTGATTTACTAAACAAGAACTGATTGTGGAAGAATAATCATCTTGTTTTCAGAATGTGTAAGATTATTTGTCTTGTTAGTCTGAAATTTTGACTCTAATTAAGTAAAATTTTCTGCCAATGGAGTAAGAAAATTTTACTTGGTAAGATTCTTGAAATAAGAAAAAATTGAGTCAAATCAGATATTTCAAGAATCAACATTTTTTGCAGTGTGCTGTTTTAAAGTAGCCATACTCTATGCAAATATGGCTTATTCTGTTCAACAGCCACCTGGTGGCTCAGTGGGTAGAGCTGATGCCTCTCAGCAAGAAGGTCACCAGATCTAATCCCAGCTGGACTCTCTCTCTCTGTGTGTACAGTTTGCATGTTCTCCCTCGCGAGTGTTTTTTCTCCAGGTGCTCTGCTTCCTCTCACAGACCAAAAACATGACTGTTGGTAACTCTAAATTGTCCCTAGGTGTGAATGRTTGTYTGTCTWTGTGTGTCCCTGTGATGAATGCGACCTGTGCAGGGTGTGTCCCGCCCCTCACACAGTGACTGATGGGCACCAGCGATGCCCTTGATCCCAAAAGGAAGAAGCAGGTATAGATAATGGACGGACTAACTGCAGTTAATTTATTCTGTTAGGCATGTCTTAATATTTCAAATAAATACATTTATGGATAATTTGAAGAGAGTCGTTTAAATTTAAATCATTTAAATATTTACTTCTCCATGGTAGCTTTTATTCAACTAGTTTATAGCTCCTTGACAGACATAAACGAGCCAATAAACAGTTTCTCACTATTCTGTCATGTAGGACTTCATCTCATACACTGAAAAAAATAACTTGTAAAACGTACTTGAAAAAAAATCCTCTAACAAATTTGCACTAACG